AACATGACATGAAGGCGATTGAATAGAAAAAGATTGTGACCAACCGCGGCCACGAAAAGCACTATGAGATTGTGCTTGCTTGCTAGGATCAGTTTGAATAGATTGAGCTGGTGGAATAGTGGAAACAGGAGTAGTTCTTTCAGTACGTGGATGCTTTAGAATAGTAAGAGTGGCACCACGTATCTCTAAGTCATGCTCACATCTTCGAGCATACTCAACGACTTTATTGAATGACAGAACATCCCGATTAACAACGAAATCATGGATTTCGTGTCGTAGTCCCTCCATGAATAATTGAATTTTCTCGTCTTCAGTTGGAATATGCTTCGTAGCAAACCTTGCTCTTTGATTAAACTGAGTTTCATACTCATTCACAGTCATCCCTCCTTCTTTAAGCTCAAGGAGTTCCTTCTCTAATCTTCTCCTCATATCTAGAGGACAATACTTCTCTAGCACACGAGTCTTGAACAATTCCCAGGATAAGTTCTCCTGGTCACATCCATCGAGAGCTTCATATGTTGCTTCCCACCAGACTAAGGCTTCTCCGATGAGCATTGTAGAAGCATAGATAGCCTTGTCTTCATCATCCACATGAGAGACACGAAATACTTTCTCAGTGTTCTGAATCCAAGTTAGAACAACTATAGGATTAAGGACACCAAAAAACTCTGTAGCACCACTACTCTTGAAATCTTTGAACGAGGGACGCTTCACCTTTCCGCTTGAAGATTCTCCATTGGCTTTCTCTTTTCCTTTATCATCATTCTTTTTGTGTTCTTCGAGAGTCTGTCGAATAACACCGGTAAGTTTACCTAAGATTCACTCCTCACGAGGAGATACTGGAGTATTCACTTCCTCGGGTTGAGGATCTCCACCAATCTCATGGGTATGGCTACTTACTTATTCAACCATCGATCTGAAATATGGAGAAAGATAGTATTTTAGAATATTAGGATTTATTATTACGTAATACTTTTACTCACATATTTCCTATGGTTTGTATCCCTATACTTACAATGATTAAGTTCATACATTGAACTTCCTGTAGTTTAAGTCTAAATACCAATCCGTGGAATTTAGTTCGCTTAAACTACTGCTTTGATACCATGGTTGATAGACCCCAACTTTCGTATTTTTGAAAGACCCAAACTTTCATACTTCACAATATTATTACTCCAAATCATGCTACTTGCATATTCATAAAAGCAATATTTTACATTGATAAAGGGATTACAAACTATTGGATACAAACTAACTATTACAAAGTGTTATATATTACATAACTACCCAGGATATTGTAATTTATACAAAAATAAACCGAAGTACAAAAGTACTATTACAAACTATTCTAAATCTTTCAACAGTATGTGATCATACTAGTTACTTATCACCTGCAATTGTTAAACATTGATACGGTAAGCGGTGACGCTTAGTGAGTTCAATAATACATACAATATAACGTTATGATGTATATATACTTCAATATGGCAAAAGCAAAGAGGAACAACATGACATATGTGAAATCATGTGACAAGCGTTCATATCAATCAAAGACTTTATTCAAAGATATAATTTTCAATGCTTGATATACATTAATAAAACTTTGGCCCAAATGGCATAGAAGACATGCAATTTCTGATTAACATCTTGTTAGGTTTTAGGCTTATAGTCTTGTCTAACCATTTGCCAATGCCATAGAATAGAAGTCATTCTCTTACAGAGATATGCCCTACATGGCCAGAGGCTATGTACCAGTACCAATGTGAATCTAAGTCCTTTCACTGATCACATGGTCAAAGGTATTACATTTGTTATAAACATAGCGAATAAAATAACACGGGAAAATAACTCAGAATAATAACTCTAAAAATCAAATAGCACATATAACACATAACATACAATTGTTCCTATATATTGAACTCACCTTAAGTTAACCGGGGGTTAAAATAATAATTTGGACAGCACTTCGGCTTTAAATATGACTTTCTATGTTGAAAACCAGGAGCTTAATTGAAATCCGGGCTCTGTGAAGGTAGGGCTTCAAAACCGAAAAGATAAAATTTCCGGGCTTCTCGGGAGCTTTGGGACGTGTTTCGGGTGCTAAAATTGATACCGGGGCTTCGGGAAAAGTCAAAATAGTGAATATATGGAAAAAGGGGTGAAAAGTGTGAATTTTCTAATCTTAGCCAGGAGGGTTCGCACCCTCCTATTTATAGGGGGCGAAGGTCTTTGGCCGAAGGGAGGAGGGGCAGCTGGCGGCTCGCGAGAGGACCAGATGGCGCGCATGCAAAGGCTCCAGGTGGCTCGGCTCGTAGACAAGCACGCGTCGGACATCGAGACTACACGCGTCGACTTTGGATTCGTTCAGCGCTTCGGTGCACTCGGAAGGCGACAGGAGCGCAAGGCGCATCGACAGTTTAGACGGGACAAGACTCGGTGATGCAGCAGCTTCGTGCGAAGGACGTGGCCGAATCCGGACCACTCATGCGAGATTTCTCGGATTTTGAGCCCCAAACTTCTAAAATCCATAAATTTCGCATATGAACTCCGTTTTTGACCTTCTTTATATGCAAGTGTAGCTAAAATTACGCTCTACAACTTTCGTTTAGACTTTGTCGGCTAAGTTTGACTTTATTTTTAATATTATTATTTTTAACAGACCGGGATAGGAAAATACGTTAAAAATTCATACCTTCTTCATCCGACATCCGTTTTCGTCAGACTTTTTACCGTTGTACTACAAATGATGAGACCTTCGATTCTCGTTTAGGATGTATCGATCAAATATCACTCAATCTAAAATTCGAGTTTTTAGCTGTCCACTGTTAAGTTGAAACTTCGAAAAATTATAACTTCCTCATACGAAGTCAGATTTTGGCATTCTTTTTATCAAATTTCTCGGTTTAACGAATACTACGACTTTCATTTAGATTATCAAGGCTAAAAAGTAGTATATCAAAAACTCACTTTTTACGTCATTCGGCGCCGTGTCGATTTTGTCGCGGATCTTCAATTAGCCATAACTTCTTCGTTATAACTCGAATTTCGACGTGGTTTTCGCCTACAAGTTTCTAACAAGATTATTTACAACTTTCAATAATAAAATTTTACTTATTTAAAATTTTATATTTTCGCTAAATTTCACTATTTGGCTTTTAATTGAAATCTTATAAGACTTCCAATATTTTCTGAGTGATTCTAAACATAGTTTTACTTTATTTCTAGTAAAAACCATCTGTTAAAACTCAACACTCAATTTCACATTGTATTTCACAATTTTATTCATTACAAAACACGAATTTAAAATGTGTATGTTACAGTACCTACATAATTGTTTTGGTTGAGATTTTATTAACAAGTTAATATAAAAATATTGCTTTACTATAAATTTAATTTTTATTTTCAACATTATTAAAATTTTATTAAATTGATAAGATAAAAGTTTTGTTTTGATTTCTATATTGATTATTTAAAATTTATATTTTTTAAATATTTTATATCTTATGTATGTGTAGGCATTAATTAAATTTATGATTTTATAGAAGGAATCATTCGGTATTAATTTATAAATTTTAGTCTAAATGATTATAGCAAACTAAACCATTTAAATAATATTTTAAATTGTTATTTTATAGTTAGATGAGTAATATATAAAAAAATCTATAAAAACATGTAAAATTCAAAAGTTTATATCAAACTAAAAAAAATATCACTTAAAAATAATTAGAATATTATTTTAACAATAATTGTTTATACAAAGGATTAATCTTGACAATTTCAACATTTTACCAATTAATATTTACATTATATATAAATTTTTACTATTTTACGTGAACAATTAGTTTTTTATGTTAAGTTTAACATTATATGGTTGAATATAATACTTTAGATTATAAATACAAAATTATAATTTTAACTATATAAACATTTCAATCAAGAAAAATGACAGTTTGAATTTAGAAATCATGTTTTGTAATTAAACAGATAATCTTGATAAAAATAGGGAATCTACAAAAAAAAGTCTTAAAATTTTGGCCAAATTTATGATTTAGTCCTAAATTAAATTTCACTTATAAAAAAGGCCAGATTACTTGCTATTACACTCACTTTAGCCCTAGGAACCAGTAATCATTATAATAGCCGGTTACCCCAGCTGGCTCGTCCTTATCACCCTCCACTAACCTCCCCATCACCCACTCCTCCCCTGTAAAAACCCTTTCTTACCCTCCAACGAAGCAAAACTCTACGAAAATGGCATCTTCAAGCTCGGTGAGAAGTAGGAGTTATAACCGGTCACGAAGGTAAGCATTAAGGACAACATGCTTTTGTGAAGACCCCATTGGTAAGTGGACATCATGGAGGCCAACAAACCCTGGCAGGAGGTTCATCGGTTGTCCTAATTTTCGGGTAACATGATGAGGAAAAAGATTGCAAGTATTTTGCTTGGGTCGATCCCCCATTACAAAACAACTGGTACAGAGATATGTTGATGGATTTTCACAGTAATGGCATTCAAGTAGACAATTAGTTCGTGGAAGAATTTGTAGAAGAAGCTATGGATTTTCACAACAATGGCATTCAAGAGGTTCTGTACAAGGTGAAGGTGAAAAATGGAAGATTGGGTTTTTTTGTGTTTGTTGGTGATTGTGTGGATTATGTTGAAGTAGTTTTAAGTTGTTGTAAAACTTTTAAATGACAGTTGGATGTAAGTTGTATGTTGTTGAATGAAAAATTGGTTTATTGATACGTACTGTTTGAACAATGTACAGTTGTAAGTGTATGATGTGAGCAAATGAAGGATGTTTTTCAATATAACATAATTACTAAAATGGATATGACTTATACATCAACAAAAAATACCAAAATCAGCCATGGTGTTAACATTGCAGCTATATTGTGTATTGTTTACAAAAGAAAGGGCATATTAACAAATTTAGCAAAAAGGGCTTCCTAACATATTTTCCCAAATAGCCCATATAACTACTTAAATCCTAACCAATCTAATCCAAACTAAGTGCTTTTTCTGGATCCATTCCTAATCCTTTCTTGTCAACCATAATTTTCTTCACCATGTTTTCAGTGATCCTTTCAGAAGCTTTTCTTCTTCTAACCTTGATTTGATTTCTAACCCTAACTTGAGTATCATCAACTCCCTCTTCATCATCCTCAACTCCATCTTCATCATTGTCCACCTATGATTCTTCAACTCCATCTTCTTAGTCACTCTCCTCCTTGTTTAATTTCATCATTGACCTCCTGTGTTTCTGGTACATGTTCACTCACAAAAGCCACATCCTAGCATGGGAAAATAAAAATCACTCTCAATGTTATAAAATATACCTTTGCAGCTTGTTTAGATTGGTGAAGCAAAGCATCAAATCCTTGAAGTTGTGATTGGGTGATATTAAGACACAAAAGGATCTCTGCTTCACTGTATTTTGACTCTCTAAGGTAACTCAAATCATGCAGTATTTGGTCTAGATCATCCATATCCAGACCATCACCTTCATCATCATCTTAACATCTGCTTCCTGTGTTTCTGGTACATGTTCACTGTTAACTGTAGGTGTTGTTTGGGTGACAAATTGACTCTCAACATTAGGTGTTGTTTGGGTGACAAATTGAGTCTTAATCTCAGGTTCTTTTTTTTCCTAGAACTTTCAGCTTCTTCATAAACATTGGTAGACCCTCTTCCACCACTTCCACCCCCTCTTCTACCACTTTTTCCACCACCTCTCCTAAGTCTTGTGCAATTGGTCAATTCTGGATTCAACGTTGGCCTCCCTGTTTTCTTCTTAGGCTTTGGTGTTGGTTTGACTTAGGGATTCTTGAAAGATACTTTATTGTGCCCCATTTGCATACAATTCTGACGTTGGACAGTTCTACCCTTAGAGGAGACTTGGGAGAACCTATCTCGATGCTCAGAGATATGCCTTTTCCTTTTCATACAAGGCCTTCCTGGCATCCTTCTTTTAACAGGTGATAGTGGTTTGGTGTAAGGTGTTGGTTCCCACATATTACTGCCATTAACAGGAAGGATGTTAGACTCATAAGTAGCTAAGAACTTGTTCTTACCAAACCATGTGCTGATAAATCTAGTTGGATCCTGTTGTGTGTAAATTATGGTTGCTTGGGCATGGACACAGGGGATCCCAGACAACTCCCAAAGTCTGCATGTACAGTACATCCCCTTTAAGTTCACTTCATATTAGTGGAATCCATTTCTCACTTAAAAGGCATTCAAACCACTAGGATGAACATACCAACTCCTGCAAACACATTAACAGTTTTAATTAGTATACATATTGAGTCTCAATACTAAACTCATACATTGTCTTAATTTTATAATACTTACTTGATATCAAAAGCAAACTCATCCATTTTCTTAATAGGTCCTGGACACACATTATTCACCCATTTACATGCTTCTTGCTTCAAGTTAAATAACCTTTCTGTCATATATAGTCTAATCTCCTCAAGCATGGCCAACAAAGGCTTCTTTCTGGCATCAAGTATGATGGCATTAAAACACTCTATCATTCTATTTTCAACAGCCTCACATGCCATTCCACCTTTAAAAAATACCCTCCACCAAGATTTAGGCTCCCTTGCCATCAAATGATCATAAGCAGCAGGTTTAACTTCTCTGATCTTCTCCATATTCAATTTTAAGTCTCCTTCAATAGTTAACTTAGCAATTGTCCAAAACATATTCTTGAACTCTATACCACTGAAGAACTTTCTGAAATTTGCATACACATGTCTTGCACATTGTCTGTGCTCCACACGTCGCAATACAACCTTTACAGCTTCCAAAAGACCCTATTAATTACATTAAAAAAATTTCATTACTAACTGCTTGATACATGTATAAATGAAATGAAAAAAAGAGATAATCAAAAACATTACCTTGTGTTGATCAGAAATAAGACACAAATCCAAGCCTCCTTGTAATTCCAGGTCATCATGTAATAGTTCCTGGAACCACTGTCGGTTGAGATTGTTGTCAATTTCAACTATTTCCCAAGAATTGGAATACACATGGTTATTTGTATCCCTCCTTATGGCAGTTAGCAGCTCACCTTTACATTGTCCTTTCAAAAAACTCCCATCAAGCCCTATAACTCTTCGACAACCAACTTTCCATCCTTCTTTGATAGCCTTAAAACATGTATACATTCTATGGAAATTAGTACTCTTATCAGGGTTTACAGTGACATATATTTGAAGTGTACTCGCTAGAATAGACCTCACCAGCTCATGTCCATAATCCCAAACTTTTGCATAGTGATCACTCAACTTTCCATATATTAATGAAATTTCCCTACACTTTGCTCTATAACATTTTGACCATGAAACCTTGCAATGGAACCTGCTTTGAATAATAGGTTGCATTTCCTTACCTTTTAGATTTGGTTTCCTAATCATCTCCTTTAAAAACTGCCTAGCTATCCATGTAGGATCCATAAGATTAGCACTACGGAAATTCCTAACATAGTGTAACATCCGGATTCCCAGGTATATTATTCTAATATTTTATTTTTGGAGTTTGTGAAGGAACTCGATGAGTTGATGCTTAGACTCATCGAGTAGGGTCGTGGATTATCATCTGGGTTCGAGACTGGACTCGACGAGTCCATTAGTAGACTCGGTGAGTCCATGCTGTTTAATTGAACCTAATCACCCGGGGTTGGAGCCTATTTAAGGGCTCCCTTGAGAGAACCCTAAGTGAACTAAATCGTTTGGGAGGAAGGAGAAGCTATATTTGATCTTTCCATCTTTGGTTTAGCAAGAAGAAGGCGATCAAGAGCAAGAGGAGTCTGAAGCAGGTGTGATTCTAGTGTTTTTAGAGTTCAGAGATTTCATCTTGTGGTATTTATCAGGACCTTCTTCAGTTTTGGTGTTGATTCTTAGAGTTAGGCTTTTCTAACCTCTTTTGAGGAGGGTTATGTGGAGCAATTGGTCCCTTCTCAAGTTTATGCTTTGGATCTAGACTCGAAGAGGTCCAGAGACCTTAAGCTTTGTAGCTTTATGAGTTATCTTGGGAGTCATGAGCTTAGAATGTCATTTTTGGGGCTAAATCACCAAATGAGACCATCTAGATGATATATAAGTGTCAAGGTTTGGACTTTACATGATTATTATTATTGGGAAGGCCAGATGTATGGATTAGAGGAGCAGATCTAACCTCAGGAGGTCAATGGAGTTTGTGTATGTCATGTAGTCACCGAGTTGTTCTTGAGACTCGGCGAGTTGAGTCGGGGTGGCCCCACGATTCATGCATGACGATTCGTCAAGTAAAGGGAGCGACTCGACGCGTCAAACAGGACTAAAGAGTTAGTGGACACATGTGGACTCGCCGAGTTGCCTAAGTGCAATCGACGAGTCGGGTCAAAGTTTGACCGTTGACTTTGGTTGACTCTTAGGGTTTAGTCAACAATGAGGGCCTCTGAGCCAAAGAAGGGGTAAAATGGTCTTTTACCCTTCTGAGGGGTGCCTAGAGAGGGTTGAGTCTAGTTCTGAGAGTTGTATTTATGAGAGTATTACTTTATGTGTTTAGGCGGAGGCTAGATCGTATTCCTACCGAGTCAGTGATTTAACGAGACATCTGAGGTGAGTCTTCTCACTATACTTTATCTTGAGTGGTAATTAGAGTTATGTGAAAGAGTTATTGTATGTTGTTATATGATGTGTTGTACTGCATTATTTCTATGTGGTTTATGTCATGAGTAGATCAGAGTATATCACAGTTAGAACCGAAAGGCTCACAGAGTCAGGACCAGAGGGTCCATTGAGTTAGGGCCCACGGGCCCACAAAGTTATAGCCTCGACTGGCTAGTATATTTTATGTATGGTATTTTGGGGAACTCACTAAGCTTTATGCTTACAGTGTTATATGTTATGTGTTTTTGAGGTACCAGTGATGATCGCAGGAAGGTGCCAACATAATTCGCACACACGCATAGGTTTTTATGTATTTTGATCTTGGGAAATATTTTGTTAAACAAAGTTACGATACAATGGGATTTTGTTGATAAATGTGTTTGGAAAAATGTGTTTAAAAATGTGAAAATTTGTTTTAAATTTTATAGTGTTACACACAGGTATGTTGCTCAACCATTTTTTATTTGGAATGATCTTTCAGTGCTCATCCATGAGGCCCTTACAACAAAGGGACATTGAAATTTCTTAGGGTCGCTTGCACATACAGCTACGAGCCTTACACTATCATAGTTCTTGAACATAATTGGATAACCCCTATTTATAGAGTAATTCGTCAAACAAAGCTTTAGTTGGTGTAGTGATTCATACCTCTCTCCAAGAACTGGCTTCATATTGTTCCATTTCAACTTCGGATCATGGGTTAAGTATTGAAACTGCAATTTGTCTTCATCTTTACCCTCACTATCACTCAGTTTTTCCTACGGTGCTTCATCTTCCGATATTCCTTCAAAATCATTTAGGTTTATCTTAGGTATGGTGCATTCGTCAAGCGCTTCGTCTGTGAGAGTATTTAGGAACTCATCTTTGCATCAGATTCTTTGTTTGTGTTTGAAAAACTCATCTAATTCCACGTCAATGGTATCAAAGTCATCTACTGTCTCCAGTATCACTACAAAACAAAAATTACTCAAATATTATAAGGGAAAAAAGATATTGGAGGATGACGTGGATTTTTCTTACCATTGATTCTTCTCAGGTAACGTTTTGCTTCGATGGAGGGTGAGAAAGGGTTTTAATAGAGGAGGAGTAGATAACGGGGAGGTTAGTGAAGGGTGATAAGGACGAGCCATCTGGGGTAACCAGCTATTATAAGGATTTCCGGTTCCTAGGGCTAAACTGAGTGTAATAGCCGGTAATCTGGCCTTTTTCGTAAGTGAAATTTAATTTAGGACTAAATCATAAATTGGATCAAAATTTTGGGACTTTTTCGTAGATTTCCCATAAAAGTATATTAAAACTGATTTTACGTAGAGAATTAACATTCCATGTTTTCATCTCTATTCAAAGAATTTAACATTAACAACAATCAAAATAATATTATAATTGAAAAATATTATAATTTAACATTAACAACAATCAAAATAATATTATAATTGAAAAACATTATCAAAAAGGAAAACCAATTAACGAACAAAAAGAAAGTAGAAACCAAAACATAATAAAAAATTAAAATAAATTAACATCATATTAGTGATATTATCATATCAATTAATTTAACTAGAAACCAACTATTAAGTATGTAATTTGACCTATAATCTTCTCCAATTTTGCCAAAAATATATAGAATTCGGGTTGTCACTTTATTTATTTATTTTTCTCTGAATTTTTATCTTCCAATTTCAATAATTTGTATGCCATAATTTAATTAATTTCTAATTAACTGCTAAAACTTTTATTCCTTTTATTAGGGAACTCACTTCTTGATTAATCTTCTTTATAAAGCTATTTCAACAAAAAAATAAACTTAGCTGTCAAATGAAAAATTCATAATACTTCCTCATGAGTTGTTTAAATGTAATCCATATGAAGTCACCAAATAGTATTTTAAAAGAAACCATCGAAAATGTCTGAAGGGACCAACTAATAATCATAGCAAATAGATTAACTTAAGTGATTTTAGAACCTGTAAACATATTAACTTGAAATATTTTAAAACATATAAAGATAATTTAACACTTGCATACATAATAAAAAAAATCATACTATATGCAAGGTTTTAAAAACATTGACTATATGTTGATATTTTATCAATTGATTCACTTTTCGAAACTGAGAAGGTTATGCTCTCACGATAGGGAAGCACATCAAGAAAAGTCATAATATGTACCAAATTGGTCAAACATCATCCTGGAATTAAAGACACATGAAACATTAAACACAACTTATCAGAAGAGGCCGTAGGAAACTCCAACCAATGTGAGTTATCAGTAGCAAGGAGAATATCCCGTAATAGCAATGAACTTTCTTTAACCCCATTAATAACCAAAATTAAAAGGACCAAACTTTTAACTCAATAACGGATTGTAATTGATGTGGTTCAGACTATACCTATCTAATTTTAAATTTATATCCAAGCTACTTATCTAGTATTGCACCTATAGGCAGTGTACCTAGTTGGATTATAGTATAGTAAAGTAAGTTGGTGTTGAATTCAAGGAAAGTATTTAATTAACTATGATAATTAATAAAATTAACCTAAAACAAGCAAATGTCTAAAAGGGGTTTTTATCTGATTTTTCAAGTTCAAACAAACTTAAACACTTAACTAACGATTTTAATCAATATACTAAAAACACTTTTGTTTACTTCGAATCCACTTCTTCTCTATGGTTAGTTACTGATTATAGATTATTAATGTTGGTTACTAATTATTATGTAATTAGCAATTCATGTCCATATTTACTAATATTTTAAAAAATTCATGAACAATCTTGTACGATCATACACAAGCAAAATAGATAATTAGATATTACTTATAGGTGGCTTATGCAAGATTTATCTAAACAAACACAATTATGGTTATAATTTATGTTCTCTAGCATAGCTAAATTTGTTTCTATTATTACTTATCTAAGATTTGTTTGATCCGAGGTATAGTAATTTAATGGTCACTAAATCAATAGATAATCAAGTTCATGTATTTTAATGGTCACTAAGCTACACTTAATTTGAATTTAAGCAAAAAATCACAACGTTAACATGCTTGGTAATGATAGTCAAACATAAGCACAAAACCAACTATTAAAATCCCTAAATTAATAAACTAAACCATAGAGTTAAAGTATCATCTAGCTAAATGAAATCAAATAAGTTCAACTACTTATGGCTGAAAACGAAAGCATAAGTTCAAAATAAATCGACATGATTAAAGTAAATCAAACCAACATGATGATGCATTCCTCAATCTCTTAATTTCGAAGCTAAATATCCTTTAAAGGAATGTTTTATGCACTTTTTAGAAATTTAAATCGGATATCTTAGAATACCTCAACCCCAAATTTCTCCAAAAGCCTCCTCAAATCGTTAAACAGAAGGAATATTTAGAGTTTTGGAAAATATGTTTCTCACGTTGTGATAATTGGTGTCTCACATCATGAGCTCAGTATACGTCCGTATCGGACAAGGATTCTACTTCCCACATTCTAATCTTCTTGAATAACCTCCTCATGTTGTGCGGTTGATTACCACGTTATGAGTTGGGTTTTTCACCAGAATTTTCTTCTTTTTGTCTTCAATCCTAGAAATTTCCAATTGTTGCCAATTTTTGTCCAAATTCTTCAAGAGTGTCCCATTTGGCTGCAAAATACAATTTAGTTCAATAAGTACCAAATATCTTTCCAAATAACCAAAATATTACTTAAAATGTATTAAGATATTGCCTAAAAATATGTAAATAAATGGCAATATCAAAATACCAAAAACTTATCTTTTGCTTTCTCTTAAGCAAAACTATTCATTTTTTAAGTCAAACTTTTCATCACCAACATCAAATAAGATAATCCATTTTTAACTGAACAATTATACTAAGACCTTAATGCGTATATTTGTGTCTAAGTTTCCTAAAAACTTCCGATACTAAATACTCACAATCCTTATGAACCTTTACCCCTTAACTTATACGACACTGATTTCTGCAACCCTCTAAATCTATCCTCAGAAATCTTTCTTAACCTCAATGTATTTTTGGTTAAGCTACCGAAACATACATAATCTAGAAAAATTACATCTTTCATAGCACAATGGAGCTATTGGAACTCTTCACTTCTTTGGTATTTGATCTTTGATTTCTTCTAAATCACCACATTTTCATTTGATTTTTGGTATCTTCAACTTTTTGATTCTTCAGAATTTTGATATTTGATCTTCATAATTTGATTTGTCCAAAATTCTAACAAGTTTTTGGTAATTTTCTTTCATATATATATATATATATATATATATATATATATATATATATATATATATATATATATATATATATATACAGGGAAAAGATCAAATGAGAACACCTAAAAGGTTGAGAACGCGAGAACAAATATATTCATTTGTGATTTCATGTATTTATTTGTGGAGAAAAAATAAATTTTTATGCACAATCAACATGAATATGTTTTTTCTCTTCAATTGAAATTAAAGGCGTAAAAATTTATCATTTCTCCACAAATGAATACATGAAATCTCAAATGAATATACTTGTTCTCGCGTTGTCAACCTTTTTGGTGTTCTCATTTGATCCTACTCCTATATATATATATGTATATATATATATATATATATATATATATATATATATATATATATATATATATATATATATATATATATATATATATAAGTCACATTTTTCGCTCAAATCCTACATGCTTAAGAAATGGAGCATAACTTCAACCTTTATTGGTTAGAGGTATCAGCCTATGTGCAATGACTACATAAGCTCACCTGGATAGATTTCAGGTACAAGCTGCAAAACTTATTATGCCATATAAACTGTCAGATTATCTTTCATTACTCATGGTTTTTTACTAAAACTTGGGAAGCCAGAAATATACAATAACATATGTTGGCTCAATTAATCGTTTGAGCTCGTATTGGATCATCCTATGCAACACTAACAACTTAAGTTTTAATTATTACTAGATTTAATGGTTAGATTAATATTTGAAATCTACTTGAAAATTTATAAAATTCCTCGAGATTTCCTTTTTCGACCCCTACCCACGCTTATTTCATAAAATGCCCTCATTATATGCATAAATAATAAAAAGGAATAAAAGGGATAAAAAATAACAGACTCCCCTAGGGTAGTAGTGGAGATATCGATTATGAACGCGTGTATAAAACTTGAACACCTTGAGTAGATGATTGGAACTTGGATCTTCTGAGATACATATATGTGCCATCAAAATGTGTATCAAAAACTTACATCTTCAAAAAGTGTGATTCATAGGATCTTCAAAACATAGCATCACGTTGTGGGAAAAGCATATGACACATTGTAAACTGGAAAGGGTATAATAAACATGCCATTTTTATTGCTCACGATGCGGTAAGAATGGACATAATGTAGTGTCGAAATAAATTGAATTGAAACTTGATGGCCTCAAACTCATGACGTGAGGTGTAAACGCTCACGTCGTGAGAACTGCATCCTCATAGAAAGCAATTTTGCAAAAAAAAAAAAAAAACTTCCATTCAAGTAATGTGCAAATGACCTTCTTAATGGATTAAGACGCTTCTAATTCCTCCTATTTTTCTATAACCTCTCTTTCCCTAATCTTCTTTTTCACACGAAATTCAGCCCACACTTATTAAAAATTATGGGCTTCAACTCGTAACTTTAAAATACATGACTTTTCTTAAGATGTTATCTCTATTCTCTCATTTTTTCTCTCGATATTTTAATAAATCTGCAACAAAACAAACATATGGTGGAAAGTAGAAAAACAACCATCACATAATTCAGTTACATGTTTTTAAAACATAAAAATAAAAACTAAGAATGAAACTAAAGTAAAACGATAAATTTTCTTCAAACATTGGGTTACCTCCTAATAAGTGCTTCTCTTTGTGAAAGTCTTGAGTCGGACTCTATATCCCCACTATGGTATTAGATGTAGGTACGATCTCCTTTTCCACCTTCAGTTCCCTCTACCTTTTCTTTTATGCTCGCACCCTTCTTAAACAAGCTTTCTTAGAATTTTCCTTTTTCGTTATAGAATTGCCTTCCTAGATCTTCCGTTTCATCCCTTTTATTCTTCACAACAAGTACAAGTTCTCATTTTTCTTTTTGTACCTCCTTAGCTTCGACATCCTCCTTACCCAAGGTTGGCTTGCTCACGTGTTGTGTAATTTCTTCTTCTTTAACACTTAACACAAAACTTTCTTTAGTTTCTTCACTTACTAGGGACTTTGGAGTTTTATAAGCAAAGACCTAAAAAACCATTGGAGTTGATGCTCTAGGCTTAGTATGCTTGACTTGTTCTATTAATTGAATTTCTTTTTCCGTAAATTTCAAAAACTCCTCATGCTCATTTTCTTCATCCA